CATTTGAATTAAATATTTTCAAACGATTTTAATGTGAATGGGTCATTGAAATTAGAACATAAACAAATCTGACATTTCACCAACTGACGTTTTGCTTTGAATGTATTGGTAGTGTATACAGTATTTATGCAGACGTCAATGCGAACGTCAAGCTCTTTTGAACCATATTTCATAAAAACCGTTGGAACGACCGTATTTTCAACGAATAAATTAATTTCGTTGGAGGAAATATGCCGTCAAGAAAACATACCGGTGACGGTGCATATTAATGGCTGAAAAATCAATTGCCAGCGAAAATCACACTGAGCAAAATTTCAAATTTATTAAAAATTACAGCGAAAAAGACTATTTACTATGGAAAAACTTGGACACCGGAGTCATGATCATAACATGCATACCACTACCCAAACTGATTATTATTCGACCGAGATTTTTTTATTAATTACGAATGAAACAAGAACCACCACTTCAATGCTGAACCAATTTTCCGCTCAAGTCCGAAGTCCAAATGGATGGCGGAGGTATTGCTAAATTTCACGGTGATGGCATGATGACAGGACTGATGAGTTGCAATAGGGAATGCAACGACATTTAAGATCCTTTTATTTAGATTAAATTATTCATGAAAAAAGTCGATTTTAATTTAAGTTTAACATAGATTTTTGTAAGTATCCATTGTTTAGTTTTAAATCATTTTTTTGTACATCAAATTCAAATCCATTTGCCTTCAATACAATAAATGTTAAGCGTTTCACATCACAAATAAATGAATGTTTAAAGAATTTGATAATTTTTGCTTTGAGCTTGGCAACTTACAAGGCTGTTGAGCACCCGGCCGTTGTGGCCCATTGAGAACCCTATTGGTAAATATGATTTGACTTGAAAATGCGGCCTTTTCCTTGAGTTTAAATTTGTATACATACAATTTTTTGACATTAACGACTTTGAAGTTACAACAGGTCAAAGTATCAAATCAACCTTGGAGTGTGTTTTTTGTTAAATCGACATGTTTTTTGTTAAATAAATCGTATTGACTTTGGTAAGTGTCATTTGGAATGTATTGCCTTTTTTATTTGAAAATGTAGACTCTTATCTGTAGATTAATATAAAAGTAACAAAAAGCTTGAAAACTTTCCATTTGTAATGACTAATGAGATGTAATTAACATAAGCACACATGGCCATTTTGAATTTATACATTAAGGGTTGTACATACTAATGAGCTCTATATGAACTATGTCCGTGCAAATGATTCTGGCAAAACCTGAAACTTCACAAAAATGTCAGTCGTTACTCAGCATAGCTTGAAAGAAGTTCTTTCATTAAATGAAAACAAATTACAAAATTCCTAGCAAATTTCTATCGCTTACATTTTTCAGACTAAGAATCCATTACCTTCACACATCCATTCGATCGGAGATTTTTTATTAAAACGCAAAAATTCGTGTCAAAAGTTTGAAAATCAATTTAAACGTGTTTTTTTTTAATTTAATCATTTTTAACGTGTTAAATTCAAACTTTGACAATAATATTTTTTAAATTCATTTGTTTTTCCGAACTCTGTGGGCATTTCCTTTAATTTTTAAAACAACAACCATTTTCAAAGTATTCGATCAAAAATGTCAGCATCCCATGTAGCTACTAATGACTATTCCAACGTCATTTTTCCAACGATCGGTGCGAAGTTGTATTTAAACGATAATACGGCCGATTTTCGTTTTATCTTTGAATCAGCCAACGGTCCCGATCAAAGTATTCCGGTACACAAACTGTTTTTGGTGACCGCCAGTGAGGTGTTCGGTTCGATGTTCAACGAATCATGGCATGAAAAAGATCAAGTTAAAATTGATGACGCACCGATTGCGGCTTATAAAGAATTTTTACAGTTTTTTTATTTGAACAAAGTCAAACTGACCATGGAAAACATAGCAAAAGTCATGTATCTTGGAAACAAATACAATGTATCCGAATGCTTAAAAGTATGTCACAAATTCATCGCAAGTAAATTGACCAGTGACAACGTGTGTTCAACCTATGAACTAGCGATGCGTTTGAATCAAAAAAACTTGAAAAAGCTGTGTGAAACATGGATCAGTAAAAACTGCATGTCAGTATTCAAGTCGACCGAATTTCTCCACTGTAAAAAAGATGTTTTGAGTCACATATTGGACTTGGATCCGTTGAACTGCACCGAGGCGGATGTGTTCGAGGCATGTGTTGGATGGGTGAAAGCTGTAAATAATGCCGAGACTTTAACGCGTGAATTCTTACGCGGTCAACTTGGCGACGTGTTTCATAAAATTCGATTTTGTTCGATGTCACCAAAGGAATTTGCCACCTTGATACCAACATACGGTCACCTATTTTCGCCAGAGGAGTGTAAGGAAGTGTTTCAAATGGTTTCTTTAGAAGAATTTCAACCACAATTTTTCGAAGGAAATCATAAAAAACGACTCGAAATGCTCGCATGGGACGAACAAGCGGTCATTAAATGTGATCGAAGCATTTCAGTTTTTTACTCCGATGAACCGTATTTTTTAAAAAATCTGGAAACTACTACTTTCTCAATTGATAATCCGGTTTGGTTGGGAGCATTTCTATGTGTTGATTTATCGGATTATACAGACAATGAATATGCATTTTTGGAAGAGGAACTCAACACGGAATTTACAATCGTTGAAGTTGCCAAGGATTCGGAAAAGATTCTTTACAATGGAACGGCTGGCCTGGGAAGTGAAAGTGATACACGCATCGTTTTATCGAAGCCAGTTTACATTCGACAAGGATTTATCTATGAAATTAGGATGCAGCAAGTGCCACCTGAAAAATGCTGTACGGGAGATTTGCTGAAAACTGACGTTCAAGTCGATTCTGAAATTAGCGTTCGATTCCATGATTCGCTTGGGGAAGATTATGTTGCCAGGGGAATGGTTATTGCACTTGAATTTATTCATATTTGAAATTGGATTGAAATGCATCAAGTACGACTATTAACACAAAAACCAACGAATAATTTTAACATTTAATTTACAATTTTCTCTTTACATTTGATAAGACATCTATTTTTCAGGTGATTAGAATGAAAAAAAAACATAGATGCTTACACCAATTATAAACTTATAACTCAACCGAAACCAGTAATTCAATATTTTGAACATTTATAAAGTAAAATCTTTCTTAAAATTAGTAGTGATAGTTTTAAGGAATAAAGTGAGCTATTTCCAAGCCCATGGAATAAACACGAAAAATCACAAAAAGTGTTTTTTTTTATAAATACAGATTTACAACTGGATAGAATGATTTTTTGAATGATCCTTTCTCAATGTTGATCATAATATTACAACACCTAATTTATAATGTCTTCAAGGAAAAAACAGTTTTTGTACTTCACCATTGTTGCTCAATGAAATAATTTAAAATGTTAGTAAAATGAAAAAAAAAGTTCATTAAATAAAATCCGGAAATATTGAAAATTGGATTTCAATTCACTTGAATGCAAAGTTGCATTGCAAACCATACACGTAAAAGTACGGAACTTCGACTCTCGGGTTAAAAAACGTAAACAAAAATGAAACTGAGTTCGAATCACTTAAGTACTAAACTCATACAGTTGCGCTTTACAACAATTATGCCATTTCAAATTTACGAATGCAAAACAGTGTGAGTAAACACAAACACATATTTGCATCGGAGCGATATGGTGACAATACAAAAGAGAGAATAACATAAGTATCAAATGTTTGCTGGTGTTATTTTTTGCACACTCAGCAAGAATTTTCTGTCATGTAATAAGCGTTAGACTAACATTAGTTCATCGTAAATTTTGATTTAATTCAAAAGAATTCTTCGAATAATTCGCCATTAATTGTTCCGTTTTCTCTAAATTGTTTATTGTGAAATCAAATTTAGCAGGTATCACATTAACGAATACTTTTTATCAACCGAACTCAAATTAGCAAAGGTATGCAAAGGATATTAATATAATAGATTGATTGATTAAGTTGAAAGTGTATTGAAGATGAAATATAAGCCTTTAATTGATCTGTATATTATTTATGGATATTTTTCACTAAACGAACATTTTATGAAATTAATATTTCTTTTTGTTATTGTTTTTTTGTTTGTTTAGTTTAGCATAAACTCTATTGCGACTTAATCTAACCTCAAATTCAACAAGCTCCTATCAATTGAAAGTAAGATAACAATTTGTTAGCGTGTACTTTGTCGTAAGTGTTTTATCAATATATCTTAATTTATTTATTATTTTCCATTTTGTTTCAGAACCACAACTGTAAAAGTGTAGTTCAATATTTGCTATAATAAAAATTTGATTTTGAAAATAAGTTTTAAGGCAGTCATGTTACCCAGCAACCAAGTCTCAAACTATTATGGAATTAATGGCATCCAGACGATTGGCGAAGATTTGTATTTGAACAAAAAATGGGCTGACTTCCATTTCGAATTTGAGTCAGATGAGCGAATTCCAACGCACAAAAGTTTTTTGGGCACGATCAGTGATGTTTTTGAAGCTATGTTCAATGATTCATGGAAAGAGAAAACCTCGGTCAAAATTGTGGACGCATCGATCGACGAATTTAAGGAATTTCTGCAGTTCTTCTACTTGAGCCGAGCACAGTTGACGAAAGAAAATGTGGCCAAAGTCATGTACCTCGCAGACAAGTACAATGTACAAGAATGTTTGCGGATGTGTAAACAATTCATGACACTTTTACTATCCACCGACAATGTATGTTGGGGTTATGATCTCGCCATTCTTTACAATCAAGAGTTCTTGAAAAAATACTGCGAAACAATTATCGCAATCGATACAAAGGCAGTATTTTCATCGGATAGTTTCCTCGAATGTAGCAAAGATGCAGTTACCAACATTTTACAGATGGATGCGTTATCCTGTTCAGAAACTGAAGTGTTTGAATCATGTATGGCATGGTTGAAATTGGCGAGCCAACAAGACGAATTGACCAAGGAAATTGTTCAGAAATATCTGGGCGATTCATTCTATAAAATTCGTTTTGGATCCATGACGCTGGAGGAGTTCACATCATTCGATCCATCGTACGAAGAACTATTCTCATTTGGCGAATATAGAAAGTTTATCAAGAAAATTGCATCGAAAAACACTGACACCGAAGATGAAATTCCAAGAAAAAAATTCGGAAAATCATCGATCGACTCTTGTCAAAAGAAACGCTGTGCTCGATTAATATCACTTAAATACTCCCGACAGCTATACCATATTAAAAATAGGGAGATAACAAAATTCTCTGTCAACGAACCAATTTTGTTATGTGGATTCAAATGTGATAAAATATGGGTATCTGTTGATGGAAATTATGGTAGTGTGAAAGAAAATCTACCGACCAAAGTGACAATCTCTGAAATTTCAAAGCTGTCTAATGAGGAAAGTATACTACATGGTGAAAATGTAAGCATCGGGCCAAATATATACCTCGAAGTAACCTTGGTTAAGCCAATACTCATTCGACCTGGATTCATGTATGCCATTCATATGGAAATGTCACCGCCTGAAAATACATGTACTGGTGTTCTGTTGAAATCAGAAGTGAAATTGGATTCGGGCATCACTATTCAATTTCATGACGATCCGACCATAGATAATACTGCTAGAGGTTTAATTTACGAACTTTTATTCAAGCAAATTTAAAATTAAAAAAATATTTTTTACGCATTCAAAAAATGAGTTCTCTTTTTTTGTACTCCCGTCTATAAGTCCAGCTTTAACATACCAGCTAGACTTGAAATTCCCATTGCGAATATCAAAATATAAATGCTCAAAATACAAATTTATATTGATTTACTAAAAATCGATGTTGAAGTCTATCCTGAAATTACTGATCCTGAAATTACTGATGAATCATTAGGTAAAGATTACATTGCCAGAAGACTGGTTATGGCATTTGAATTTAATGAAATATGAAATACAAAATCGAATCGAATATCAAACTTCTAGCAAAAATAATTTTCAAAAATTTGTATGCGTGTATAAAGGAACAATCAAAACATAAACAAAAATGACATTTGTCTCCCATCACTTGAGTACTAAATCCAGTACTGAACCCATACAATGATATATGTGTCACTTTTACTTTACGATCATAAATAAGCACATATGTGTATTGGATCGGTATAATAACAATTCAACACTAAGATAATAACATTCAACAAGTGTCAAATAATCTTTTTTTTTGTTCTTTTTATGCCTTCAACAAGAATTTTCTGTCTCCTTATGAAAGTCTGACAAATATTAGCTCACCATTAATTTTGATTTAGTTGAAAAAGCTTCTTTTTTCGTTAATTTTTTTAATTTGGAGCTAAATTCAACCGGTGTTAGATTGAGGAATCATTTCATAGAGCATTCAAATTATTAAAGGTGACACAAATGTTTGACCGATTTTTAATAAACAGGTTTGAGAAATCAAAAAACATTCAATTAAATCTGTACCCATTAAAAACATAATACGAAAATCGCTTTGTTTTGTTTAATTTGACATCAACTCTATTGCGACTAAATCTCAAATCAAATACAAAGGGTTTTATTGTCGGTGATATTGGCAGTTTTCAATTGAAAGTAAGAGAACCATTTACCAACATATATCTTTACCATATTCATTATTTTCCATTTCGTTTCAGAACCACGACTGTAAAAGTATAGTTCAATAATTGCTATAATATAAATTGGTTTTTAGAAATAAATTTTGCGGCAGTCATGTTGGCCACCAACCAAGTGTCGAATGATTACGAAATTAAAGGCATCCAAACGATTGGCCAAGAGTTGTACTTGAAAGAAAAATGGGCTGACTTCCATTTCGAATTTGAGTCAGCCGATGGTCCATACAACCGAATTCCAACACATAAAAGTTTCTTAGCCACAATCAGTGATGTTTTTGGTACCATGTTCAATGATTCATGGAAAGAGAAAAACTCGGTTAAAATTGTGGACGCATCGATCGACGAATTTAAGGAATTTCTGCAGTTCTTTTACTTGAGCCGAGCACAGTTGACGAAAGAGAATGTGGCCAAAGTCATGTATCTCGCAGACAAGTACAATGTACAGGAATGTTTGCGAATGTGTGAACAATTTATGACACTTTTGCTATCCACTGACAATGTATGTTGGGGCTATGATCTCGCCATTCTTTACAATCAAGCATTTTTGAAAAAATATTGCGAAATAATTATCGCTCTCGACACGAAGGCCGTATTTTCTTCGGATAGTTTTCTCGAGTGTAGCAAAGATGCAATGTCCAACATTTTGCAGATGAATGCATTATCCTGTCCAGAAATTGAATTATTTGAAGCATGTATTGCATGGTTGAAATCGGTGAGCCAACAAGACGAATTGACTAATGAAATTGTTCAACAATATCTGGGCGATTCATTCTACAAAATTCGATTTGCTACAATGACGTTACAGGATTTCACAGAACAATGGATCCAGTATGAGCAATTATTCACATTTGATGAGTATAAAACGATTGTTAAGAGAATTGCATCAAAAGGAACCAGTTTAGATCATGAAATGTCAAGAGAGATATTCAAAGCATTTTCATCAATATTTCCGAGTGTAGGTTGTTCTCGATTTATATCAAATAAATACTCCGAAGTGCCATACTACATTAAAAATAAGGAAACAACGAAATTCTCGGTCAATAAACCACTTTTTCTAAGTGCCATCATATGTGATGCAATATTTGAGTTTATTGATGGAAAATTCAATACATATGAGAAGGAATGGGTACCGACTAAAATGACCATCGCTGAAATTTCAAAGCTAGCTGATAAAGAAATCATACTACATGCTGAAGATATAAACATGAAGCGTGACGCGCACACCGTAGTATATTTGAATAAACCAATACTTATTCGACAGGGATTCGTTTATGCAATTCATATGGAAATGTCACCGCCTGAAAAAGCTTGTACTGCCCTTCTGTTGAAATCTGAAGTCAAACTAAAGGATTCGGATATTATCATACAATTTCATGACGATCCGACTAGAGATGATGACAAAGATGTTGCAAGAGGTTTAATTTTTTCTCTTGGATTCAAAAAAATTTAAATACATTACCACTAAGTAATAACCATTGTAGATGTTCATGTTTGCGTAAGCTCTTCAAGTAAACAATAAAAAAAATCTTATTTCTGTATCGAGATATGATGACCGGAATTTTGCAAGAGGCTTCCCAATTGGCAATTTAAATTCAAACAAATTTAAGATAAAAAATATTTTTTTAATCCAAAAAAATTGTTCTCTTATTTTTTTTCGTATTCCCGCTTATAAGTTCAGCGTAACCATTCTACACTTACTTGAAAATTTCAAGTAGAAATGTCCTTTGTGAATATCAAATTCAATTTCTCATTAGTAGATCAACTGTATGATTCGTTGGTTGAAAATTACGTCGCCAGAAGATTGGTTACGGCATTTGAATTTAATGGAATATGAAATACAAAATCGAATCGAATATCAAACTTCTAGCAAAAATAATTTTCAAAAATTTGTATACGTGTATAAAGGAACAATCAAAACATAAACAAAAATGACATTTGTCTCCCATCACTTGAGTACTAAATCCAGTACTAAACCCATACAATGATATATGTGTCACTTTTGCTTTACAATCATACACAAGCACATATGTGTACTGGATCGGTATAATAACAATGCAACGCTGAGAGAATAACATTCAACAACTGTCAAATAATCATTTGTTTGGTTCTTTCTTACGTCTTCAACAAGAATTTTCTGTCTCCTTATAATAGTCGGACTAATATTAGCTCACCATTAATTTTGATTAAGTTGGGAAAGCAAACAGTTCTTTTTTCGTTAATTCTCTTAATTCGGAGTTAAATTTAGCCGGTGTTAAATTGACGAGTCATTTCACAACGCATTGAAATTATCAAAGGTGATTCATGTTTCACTGATTTTTAATAAACAGGTTTGAGAAAGAAAAAGAAAGCATTCAATCCAATCTGTACCTTTAAAAAAATATCATTTCAAAAACGATTTTTAAAATTTAAAAGTAACTGGATGATTTTTATTTCTTTTCATTTATTTAGTTTGACATCAATTGCGGCTAAGTCTAACCTCAAAGTCAAAGAGTTTTTATTTGTTGGTGATACCGGCTGTTTCCAATTGAAAGTTCATTAGATTAAGATTAGTTCAATACATATATTTGCTACATATTCATTATTTTCCATTCCATTTCAGAACCACGACTGTAAGAGTGAAGTTCAATCATTGCTATAATAAAAATTTGATTTTAAAAATATATTTTGCAGCAGTTATGTTACCCAGCAACCAAGTCTCAAACTATTACGAAATTAAAGGCATCCAAACGATTGGCGAAGAGTTGTATTTGAACGAAAAAAGGGCAGACTTCTATTTCGAGTTTGAGTCAGCCGATGGTCCATGCGACCGAATTGCGACGCATAAAATTTTCTTGGGCACGATCAGTGATGTTTTTGACGCCATGTTCAAAGAATCATGGAAAGAGAAAACCTCGGTCCAAATTGTGGACGCATCGATGGCAGAATTTAAAGAATTTCTGCAGTTCTTTTACTTGAGCCGAGCACAGTTGACGAAAGAAAATGTGGCCAAAGTCATGTATCTCGCAGACAAGTACAATGTACAAGAATGTTTGCGGATGTGTGAAGAATTCATGACACTTTTACTATCCACCGACAATGTATGTTGGGGTTATGATCTCGCCATTCTTTACAATCAAGCATTTTTGAAAAAATATTGCGTAATAATTATCGCTCTCGACACGAAGGCCGTATTTTCATCGGATAGTTTTCTCGAATGTAGCAAAGATGTAGTTAGCAACATTTTGCAGATGAATGCATTATCCTGTTCAGAAGCTGAAGTGTTTGAAGCATGTATGGGATGGGTGAAATCGGCGTGCCAGCAAGATGAACTGACCAAGGAAATTGTTAAGAAGTATTTGGGCGATGCATTCGACAATATTCAATTTGCTTCAATGACGTTACAGGAATTCACAGTACAATGGATTGCATATGAGCAATTATTCACATTTGATGAGTATAAAACGATTGTTAAGAAAATTGCATCGAAAAGCGCCGACTACGAAGATGAAAATCCAAGAAAAAAATTCAGAAAATCATCGATTGACTCTTGTCAAAAGAAACGCTGTGGTCGAGTAATATCACTTAAATACCACCCATATCCATACCATATTAAAAATAGGGAAACAACCAAATTCACAGTTAATGAACCACTTTTATTATGTGGATTCAAATGTGATAAAGTATGGGTATCTGTTGATGGAAAGTATGGTAGTGTGAACGAAAATCTACCGACCAAAGTGACAATCTCTGAAATTTCAAAGCTGTCTAATGAGGAAAGTATACTACATGGTGAAAATGTAAGCATCGAGCCAAATATATACCTCGAAGTAACCTTGGTTAAACCAATACTCATTCGACCTGGATTCATGTATGCCATTCATATGGAAATGTCACCGCCTGAAAATGCATGTACTGGTGTTCTGTTGAAATCAGAAGTGAAATTTGATTCGGACATCACTATTCAATTTCATGACGATCCGACCATGGAAGATGACAAAGATGTTGCAAGAGGTTTAATTTATAGTCTCATTTTTAATCGCATTTAAACACATTGTTAAAAATCATTGTAAATCCCCAGAGATGATAAAATGACGTTAAAATAAATTTTATATAATTTAAAATGAAGCATTTTTATATAAATTTAAGAAAAAACTACTGATATTTGTTCGTCGTGATTACAAATCTATATCCATTTAACATTCCTTTACTTTTCAATTCCATAATTTGATGAATTACGGCATTTGAATTTAATCAAATCTATTGAATATATCGAGAAGAGAGTATGTTATTCAGCGCTTATAGCTGAGTAATGTCTGAATAAAAACATACTCTTCTCTCGCTATTTTCAATAGAAATATGAAATACCGAATCGAACATTTAGCCAAACTAATTTCAAAAAATTGTATGCGTGTATGTAGGAACAATCAAAACATAAACAAAAGTGACATTTGTCTCCGATGACTTGAGTACTAAATCCAGTACTAAACCCATACAATGATATATATGTGTCACTGTCGCTTTACGGACATACACAACCACATATGTGTACTGGATCGATATAATAGCAAAGCAACGCTGAGATAATAACATTCAACAACTGTCAAATATTCATTTGTTTGGTTCTTTGCTACGCCTCAACCAAGAATTTTCTGTCTCCTTATAAAAGTGTGACTAATATTAGTTCAACATTAATTTTGATTTAATTGAAAACAATTCCAGAAGAATGTGCACGGAACAATTGTTTCATCGTTAATTCTTTTCACATATTGCACGTGAAAAGAGAGAGGAATAACATTCAGAAGATTTACACTTGAATTGAATAGTTGTCAATTATCTACAAATTACTCGAATGTGTGGTGTGTTCTCGTTATTAAAGTGATTTTTTTTATAAATCTCGCGTGTCATCACTACAGTGCATTCTTTCGTATTGAACGTGTCCGCTGTGTTTATGTTAAGTGAATGTTTAGAATAAAGTAAGGTTAGAAGTAGAAATAAAACAAACAACATTAGCAATGCCAATAGATGAAAATAACAACAGAAACCGCACATTTGCTGAAATCAGCCAAAATATAATAAACAGATTAGATGAAATGTTAGAAAAACTAGATCAAATACTAGAACTACTACCACAACAACCGAACAACCCAAACAATGTCAATAAATGAAAATTTCGGCGCGTCGTCACCTACCATTGTAAAAGAACTTTCTGAACAATTTAAACAAACACAAGAAATATTACGAATACAACACAACCAAGTAATACAAGCACTAAATGATAACACAGAAATAATACGGCAAATACTACAACAAGAAACAGCAAAAAACGAAAAAAAAAAAACAGTAAAAGAAGAACAAAGATAATAAATAAAAGATATACAACAACAACAACAACAACAACCCGATCAACATTAAAAATGTCAAGAAACGAAATTTTCGGTGCGTCGTCAGTTACCATTGTAAAAGAAGGATGGCTGTACAAGCGTGGTGAACACATTAAAAATTGGCGACCAAGATATTTCATTTTGCGTAACGATGGTTCCCTAATGGGCTACAAATCGAAACCAGACGAAACCAATTTCGCTGAACAGCTAAATAATTTCAATGTCAGAGGTTGCCAAATAATGACTTTAGACCGTCCAAAACCATACACATTCATTATACGTGGATTACAATGGACAAATGTCATCGAACGAACATTTCACGTGGACAGTGAACAAGAGCGACAACAGTGGATTGAAGCCATTCGGTAAGTTTACTAATTACAGATTATTCACTTTACAAAATATTCATAATAATAATAAAATATTCTTCTTTTTTTTTGATTAAGATATGTGACAAATCGTCTCAGTGAAATGGGTGAAACCGCGATGTCACCATCCAGTTCAACAGATATGACTAACGTGGAAATGGCTTCTATCGCTGAAGATGAACTTTCTGAAAAGTTTTCCGTTCAGGGAATTGCGACTGATAAAACAAGCGGCAAAACAAAAATTGTATGTTTTATTTATTTTAGCTTCATAACCAATGCATGGAAATCGTACTAATTATTTTAATTCACTTGTTTCGCACATAGACGCTGGAAAACTTTGAATTTTTAAAAGTCTTGGGAAAAGGAGCATTCGGCAAAGTGATTTTGTGTCGTGAAAAGTCTACTGAGACTCTGTATGCCATCAAAATGTTGAAGAAAGATGTAGTCATACAAAGAGATGAAGTTGAACACACATTAACTGAAAATCGAGTACTACGATCAACAAAACATCCATTCATAATTGTAAGATGAAACGTAAACCATTTTTTTCGAACAATCTTTAATAATCGATGTATGTTTTCATATCACTTTCAGTCGCTAAAATATTCATTTCAAACGTTACATCGTTTGTGCCTTGTGATGCAATATGTGAACGGTGGAGAGCTGTTCTTTCACCTGAATCGTGAGCGCGTATTTACAGAAGATCGAAGCCGTTTTTATGGTGCTGAGATAATCTGTGCATTGGGCTATTTGCATTCGCAAGGGATTATTTATCGAGATATAAAATTGGAAAATCTCTTGCTCGACAAAGATGGTCATATAAAAATAGCCGATTTTGGTTTGTGCAAAGAGGAAATAACATACGGTTCAACAACGAAAACATTTTGTGGTACTCCTGAGTATATAGCTCCCGAAGTATTAGAAGACAATGATTATGGATTGGCGGTTGATTGGTGGGTAAGTATCGATAAAATCACTTTGAAACTAATCAATACTGCAGTAAGCATTATTTTCCTCATTTTTCATAGGGAACTGGAGTTGTTATGTATGAAATGATGTGTGGACGCTTGCCATTTTATAATCCCGATAAGGATGTTTTGTTCAAACTCATTCGAGTCGAAGGTGTGAAATTTCCACGCAATCTGTCACTGGAAGCTCGCTGTTTGTTAAGTGGATTGTTGGCTAAAACACCGAAAGATAGACTTGGCGGTGGACCGGATGATGTCAAAGAAATTATGGCTCATGCTTTCTTTGCCTCAATTAATTGGAAGGAATTGGAAAATAGGAAAATTACACCACCGTTCAAGCCTCAAGTCACTAATGATACCGACACCAGATATTTTGACTCACAATTTACCGGTGAAAGCGTCGAACTTACACCACCCGACAATTCTAGACCTTTGGGTGCAATTCAAGAAGAACCCTATTTTTTACAGGTATGCACAATTTGACTGTGTCGTTGGATTGATTATTTTTTTTTTTTTGCATTGCTAAATATGATTTTCTTTTACGTCTAATAGTTCAGCTACCAGGGGTCTGAATCAACACTTGGCACATCGGTGCACTCTTGCAGCTCAGCTACCAGCATCGGTATTTTAATGCAGTAGATCTGTGCATGCACTTTTTTCAACAACATTTTCAATGTTGACTTCGACACTAAGCTTAGAGAAGAAATATATATATATATACAAATTTATAGAAATTATGAGATACGTTTGTCAAGATGTCATTGTCAATAAATAGTTAATTATTCCATCTCTACTGGGGTTCATTTATTATTTTTTTTACCAAACAAAATAACTTCAAATTTTGCAGAGAATTGATAGTAACAAAATTTCAAACAGTTTAGCGCCTTTTTATTCAACAAAACAAATGACGTTCATTGGATTATTCGAAAATACTTATTGATTCACATCACTTGAGTACTAAACCCATACAATGATACTTAGTGTCCCTTTTGCTTTGCGATCTTACACAAGCACATATGATCGGTATAACAATGCAATACTGAGAGAATAACATTCAACAACTGTCAAATATTCATTTGGTTCTTTGTTAGGCCTTCAACAAGAATTTTTTGTCTCGGTATAAATGTGTGATCGATATTAGTTTATCATTAATTTTGATTTTGATCTTTATAATTAAAATCGGATTTCGATAATCAAATTAACCCGCAGTCATGTCAGACACCAACCATATATCAAACCATAACGAAATTAAAGGCATCCAAACGATTGGCGCAGAGTTGTATTTGAATGAAAAGTGGGCTGACTTTTATTTCGAGTTTGAGTTTATTTCAAGTTTCTTGGGCACGATCAGTGATGTTTTTGACGCCATGTTCAAAGATTCATGGGAAGAGCAAGACTCGGTCAAAATTGTGGACGCATCGATCGACGAATTTAAGGAATTTCTGCAGTTCTTCTACTTGAGCCGAGCACAGCTGACGAAAGAAAATGTGGCCAAAGTCATATACCTCGCAGACAAGTATGTATGTACAATGTACAAGAATGTTTGCGAATGTGTGGACAATTTATGATACTTTTGCTATCCACCGACAATGTTTGTTGGGGCTATGATCTCGCCATTCTTTACAATCAAGATGAACTACCAGGGAAATTGTTCAGCAATATCTGGACGATTCATTCTACAAAATTCGTTTTGCATCCATGACGATGGAGGAGTTCACATCATGATATGATAGAAATACTACCAACCAAAGTGACAATTTTCGAAACTTCGAAGCTTGGTGATGAAGAAAACATCCTCCATACCCGAGATATAAGCTTTCAGCATAATGAATTTACCCAAGTTAAACCCATACTCATTCGACCTGGATTCATGTATGCGATTCATATGGAAATGTCACCACCTGAAAATGCTTGTACTGGTTTTCTATTGAAATTGGATTCGGACATTACCGTACAATTTCATGATGATCCGATCATAGATGACGATGAAGACGTTCCAAGAGGTTTAATTTACCACCTTGATTTCAAACAAATTTGAAATAAAAAATATTTTTTATGAATCCAAAAAATGAGTTCTCTTTTTTTCTTGTATTCCCGTTTATACATTCAGCTATTCTACACTTACTTGAAATTTCCCTTGCGAATATCAAATTCGATTTCTCATTAAAAGGTTTACTAAACAAATTACCGTTGGTTTACTAGAAATTGACGTTCAAATTATTCGATTCGCTGAATGAAGATCATGTTGCCAGAATAAAGGTAATTCTCACGAGTTTTAAATTTGATTGAACATCCATTTTATATAGAATGAAATGGAGCAATTCAAAATTGAAACGACGTCATTTAAAATCTATTTCTAGTCATTTGATAAACAAGTTTTGTTAATTTTTCATAAATACGATCCCATTGTTTCGACTCCAATGTGTGCCGTGACCAAGTAGAAACTATCAAAAGTTACATTATTTTCACTGATTGCATTAGTGAATTTTTCCAAACAAAGCGTGATATTCGGATAAATATTCGATTTGCATACCTCATCTTGAATCCGCTATTTAACACGACTAAATTCATTTCATTTCACTTGAATGCAGTTTACAAGTGAATTTCAAATTGATCGGTTGTGTTTATCCTCTCTCGTAACAATGAACGTGATATTATTGTTATTTGCTTCAATCATATTGGCAGTTGTTTCAACTGTCCAGGCAATTACTTTAAAAAAATCTGAAAAATCTGATCAAATCACCGATTGTTATTACCACCATGAATATGCGGAATCAGTGATCGTGTTTATATGTTCGGAAAATGATCATGAAGAAAATTACATTTTTACACCGGATGTGAAAACAGTTTGTTCGAATCAGCACATGACTGAAGATTACGATGACGGCATCAGTAAGCGTTGGATTGAAAAAATCGAATTTCAAAACTGTGAACGACCCAAAATTCCAAACAATTTATTCCAATTATATTCTGGCATCGATACATTCAATATGACATACCTTGGTTTAACAACGACACTACCGCTCGATAGCTTGGACGATGTAAAAATTCTTCGTGTATTAAATGTGTCGCACAATGAAATCTCCGAACTACCAAAGAATTTGCTGGCCCGTTTTACGCGTCTCTCTTACGCAGACTTTTCGTACAATCACATCAACAAAATTGACGCCGATGCCTTTTCGTCGGCAATACGGTATTTGAATTTGGGCCACAATGACATCAGCACATTGAATTTGGAAATGTTCAAAAAATTGGTCGAAGTAAAGAAATTGGAGTTGTCGCACAACCAAATCGGTGAAATTCCTCGATTCGTTTTGCATAAAATGAATAAATTGGTTGAAGTGGATTTTTCATTCAATCAAATTACAAAAATCGAAATCTACGCATTTTCCGGCCATTTTAATTTGGAAATTTTGAATTTGGCACATAATCATCTAACCGACTTGGAACGCAAAATTTTTCGCGATGAAAATTTAAAGAATTTGAAATTTTTGAATTTGTCATGCAATTCACTTGAGGATATTAAACCAGGCACATTTTCGACGCAAAAACATTTGAAAGGGATCGATTTGTCTCATAACAAATTGAAGACATTGAATGCAAATATCCTACCGGAACGGGCCAGTGCGTTGAGATTATTTTCGATTGAAGGTAATGCAATGCAGGAGCTAAATGGCTTCACGAATGCACGAATTCCAAATGCAACCATTGTGGGCATCAGTGAATTCGATTGTGCCTACTTCAACACACTTTTCAAGTCATTAACTTGGAAACATGTGGACACCGTTTTAAAACTGAATGAATGCAAAACTATCGAAGAAGGAACGGATTTTAATGAGGACTCCAGTGAATCGCCGACATCAGAATCAATGGTTGATGACGACTATGACGAAGTTGATAAGAAGAACACGTGCACATTCTACTTGATTGCAACATGGATCAGTTTGATTTGCCTAACCAGCATCGTAAGTGCAGCAATTTGGTTCATTTTCCGAAAACGATTGGCCATCGGAAACGCATTTACAGGTGTCTCATACAGCAATAACAACAACGAACCAACAACCAACATTATTAATCAATGATTCTCTACTTATTTTAAATGTACAAAAATTGATTTAACTTCAGAAAAAGATGATAGGAAAACCTCTCAATAGTAGAAGCTTTACTTCAAATATGGCGTTAAAAAAGGTCCAAAGTGCAAATGTATTTTTACATTAAAAAAGTGTAAACTTTTATTTGAAATCAAAATTCATATATATTACGAAGTTCCACTATAGCTTAAAGTTTTTCTGTATATAGATTATGTCATGCTGATTATGAAATATCAAAAATTTTGTCACATTTAATCACGTAAAGCATTTAGTTTTCTTTGAATAAACACAAAAAATGTCAATTAAGCAAAAAAAACGGTCTTTGTTTGTTTACTCTTTTTCAACAATTTCGTAATTAAATTGATCGCAGCCAGCTGAGTGGACACAGGTAAATGTGATAAAACAAATCATTTTTCAAATTGTAAACAAAAGATGTGGAACCAATCGTTACTGCACGTGCGCTTACGTATTGTTTGAGTTTAATGCGGTCATTGATTACGAATGTGTTGAAATGAAAGAAAATACTTACCTTTCCACGTCAGTAAAAAACGACAAAAATCGTGTGAATGTTCTACATATCATTTGGAACAGCGTTTTGGAATGCAGAATTTTTAAATTCTTCGTAAATTTATTTCTTTTTAAATCAAAAATTTGAAGAGGCTCCAATGATTTGTGATTCACGTGTATGCCGTTGAATTTGAAAGAGCAAAGACGTAACTTGTTTACTTTTTCGAATAGTCAACAATGTAATGATTTTATTTTGAAAGTAATATCAACATTTCCGGCACCAAGAAACAACAATGAAACAATTCCAAATCGGTGATAACGTCTCCGCGTTACAATGTGATTAACAAGCAGACTCACAGGGGAAATGTCGCTATTTCGGTCGTGCGACACAATTTTGAGAACACTGACCGACAAATTTACCAAAAATTATGCATAATCATTTGATAAATATATCGTTTTGTCTGCTATCGAGAGCTTATATGTATAGTCGTTTCCGAAAAGATCTGTGTTGTCAAACTAATACAATGAATTCCGGAACGCATTTCCATTCAAAAGTACACAAGGCTCCTTAGTTAAACGTGTCAATTTGGTTTGAATTTTGTTGAGGGTATGTTGTTTGTTCAAAATTTAGACAGTTCGCTGTAACAGATCTTATTGAAAACGACTATACTTATCAATGCAAAGACTCGAGCAACCTTGACGTAAATGGATAGCAAAAGACGTCAGATCTAAAAGGAAATCAGTTGATATTCGTATATTCCTTGAATCAGTTCTCAAGTCAATTCATTTTACATTTTCTGTTCACATTAGAGTGTTTCTAATTTGAAGCTCCTTTTGAAGATTTTGATTTATTAAAACAAATAACACATTTTTCAGATTTGTTGCAGATAAATTCCAAATGAATATGAAAATTTGGTTTATTTTGGCGGTAGTTCTCTTTACATTCGGTTTGTACACATTTTAAATGGAGATTTCAAGCTTTTTCAAGAGCCTTGACTCATTATTAGAAATGAAGTTTTTGAGTGATGGTTTAGAAATGTGATAGTTCGACTGGTGATTCATTCTTTAACTTGAACAAATTTTGTTGTCATTGATCTCAATATAGGTGTTTCATTCGCCACGCCATCTTGTCCTGCGGGTAAAATAGAGAATCTTATAATCAATGGTGCCGGAGCCACATCAATAAAACTAGACAGTCTAACTTATGACATCTTCACTACGAAACCGGGATTCCAGTCCTTACTTTATACAATCTTCACAGAGGATATTAAAATAATTGTGCATGCTCCTAGCTGCAAAGCCAATTCTGAGTTTGACGAGTTTTCAGTCGTTTCATGATAAATTACTTGTATTACTACTTTTTAAGATGACACATTTAATATTTGTCGAACAATGCCATAAAATCATTAAAACTGTTCCTTTGAAATGAAACATTTTTGATTATTATTTCGTTTTTGATGCATGAGGCTTTTATTCTTTTGTAGATCTATTCAACTTGTCGATTATAGGTCATTCAGGTCAATTTATTTGGTTTTGGAATCATTTTTCTGTGTACGTTAACACGTATTTATGACCGCTTAATAAAAACGGATTTTCGGATTTTTTTTTTGCGGCATTTCATTCCTGCTTCGATGAAAGTAAAACTTAAATAATTTCAACATGAAAAGACCGAATATGATGCTGTTTTTGCCATAAAATTGGGTTTGAATACACTTACCACACAAAAAATATCCAAAATGGTCAAAAATGACCAAAAATTTCAACGTGTGGTAAGTGTATTCAAACCCAATTTTATAGCAAAAACAGCGTCATATTCGGTCTTTTCATGCCAAAAAACCCCCAAATACTCATTTTCAGAATGGACATCATTTTTACTTCAAAATGTGACTTCAGACCATCAATTTTTTTTTCAAATGACCCAATTTTTTTTCAAAACGAATTGTGTGGCTTGACTATACTTGAACCGTACTACAACGCCTGATAGGTCACCACTCTGGGATATTGCATGAATTCAAAATGTTACTAGAGTATAAACAGCCAATTTTGGTTTTCCGGAAAACTCTCTAGGAAAATTGTGGAAAATCCTGACGTGATATAGAATAACGGGTGATGCCATTGAAATCAGCATACCCAAATTATGTAAAAACGGTAGGTCTCGTTTCTGTCACATTTTGAGTGTCGCACAGTGTAATTAATTAAATAATTAATTACCATAAATCCTGGCTTGGAAGAGTAGCGATTACTGATTTCAGACATTGTAGATATAAATCTTGCAGTTCTTTTGATATGCATTTCATTGACTTGCATTGGCGACAAATCATACGTGTGAATGGCATTGATTTTTGCTATATAAATTGCTGTTACACTAGACGCACCAAAAATAACTAGGTGTTATAGAGTTTTGTGAAAGCTTCCATGATGTATCACTTCATTCATCGATTTGGTTCAATCAGTATTAAAATTTCAGTACAGACAACCGCCGAAAAGTTCGATTTTGGTTTATAGATTTGTCAAACACAGTGAATTGTTGATTCATATCTATATACACTTGAATTTGAAAGAGCAAAGACGTAACTGGTTTATTTTGTCGAATCGTCAACAATGTAATGATTTTATTTTGAAAGTTATATCAACATTTCCGGCACCAAGAAACAACAATGAAACAATTCCAAATTGGTGATAATGTCTCCGTGTTACATTGTGATAAACAAGCAGACTCACAGGGGAAATATCGCTATTTCGGTCGTGCGACACAGTTTCGAGAACTCTGACCGACAAATTTACCAAAAATTATGCATAATCATTTGATAAATATATCGTTTTGTCTGCTATTGAGAGCTTATGTTATATGTACTTATCAGTGCGAAGTTAGCAACCTTGACGTAAATGGATAGCAAAAAACCTCAGATCTAAAAGGAAGTCAGTTGAAATTCGTATATTCCTTGAATCAGTTCCAAAGAAAGTTCGTTTAGTCAAATAATTCACTATTTCGAGTTTCATTCAGATCAACTGTGCTTACATATTTGGTGCTTCCATCGTGGGGATTTTGAATTGAACGAATAAAAATAAATAATAAATCATTTCAAACAAGCTTTGGATCTGTTCTCGATATTTGGATTAAAGATGAAACTTTGGTTTATTTTGGCGGTAGTTCTCCTTACTCTCGGTCTGTATAAATTTTAAATGTTCTGATAAGAAATTGAGCGTAGAAAGACAGTAAAGTCCCAACCCAGTGAGAGCTTTGAAACACCATTGTTTTAATCCATTCAAATTTTTGCGTCAATTTTGTCTATAGATTTTTCATTCACCACGCCCACCTGTCCATCGGGTAAAATAGAATATTTGCGATTTTACGGTGATGGGGTTACAACGATAAAACTAGACAGCCTATCCAAGGAAATCTACACAACAAAGGCGAAATTCCAATCTATGCTTCTCTCTGTATTTACGAAGGATCTTAGAATCACTATTCACGCCCCAAGGTACGCAGGAACTATTCGAGTGTTTAAATATTTTCCACCTAACTTTTATTTTTCTATACAAACCTATAGCTGTACAGTGGGCTCCGTGTTTGATGAATTTTCAGTTGAGGTCAAACAGTCGTCTTTTTTTGGCTTTCATTTGTAGGTCATTTTCACTTCAACGAATACAAAGCAATAAATGTCACATTTAAGTGTAGAATGTAACTAATAAAGATTTTAAGCACATCATTTCAAGTTATTACAATATTTTGCTGCATACAAGCAGCAGGTAAAGTAATTCAAATAAATTTTCGTCGTCTCTTCATTGAAATTCATTTAAATGGAGAAGTTAGTCAAAAATTAGATTGTTCAAATCATAATATGTAATAATTTGAAAGAATTCACATCAATCTCCACCTCTTTTGATGACGTTTCGAACAAATCGGCCCAACATTGTTCAACATCGACCAACAACCACCGAAAAACCGAACAAAGTTTCGGTGTTGCATTAGATCTAGATCCTGCATTGAAATCGGTCGAGGCGTAGAAGGTGGAACATTTTTGATATTCCAAGACGACCACCCAAACACTTTATGGCATTATAATTTTTCAAAGCATTCCATGAGAAAATAAAGTCGAAAAAATGTTGAAAAATTAAAAAAATATTCGAAAATTGGTGTTAATCAAATATTCAATTAAAAAGTATTGAATTTTAATAAAACTCGTTGGACTTTGTGTACATTTTATACTTAAACAGGTGAATATTGATGAAATATTCAGAAGAATAGTACCATATTTCAAACAAAAACTCTCCAAATGTTTTACTGAATAAACAAAAAAATACTTTTTTCTTCAAATTTTATTTTTCTAACATACATCATGAAATCGATCCTTCTCAAAATATCAAATCGAATCATCGAAATATCCTTCAAATTTCAAATTTTTGTTTTCAAATGACAAATGTTCAATGAAAAAAATATGAATGTAAAATAATTAATTTCGTATGATCGAATATAAACTTAATACAAGCTCTTGATACATTCTATTCAATTGAAAATGTTTCAAATTATAATTTTGTGAAAAATACAATTTTCACAACATACCTTCGAATGTGAAGTTGTTACTGGTTCGAAATGATGACATAAAACAGTTTCATTTGGACCTTCTTCTTGAAAAAAAACTTCGTTTTCTTCAATTTTTAAAATCTACTTACATTCCTAGCTTCTGAGCATGTTTCCATCTGACAGTCGGATTATATACCCACTTACATACTTGGTGAGGAAGGCGTATCAACCCAAATTTCTACGAACAGAAGGGTAAAACTGGCGATTTTAAATTCTTATTCCGTTTATTAATACGTGTACAATTTTTGAACAAATTAACGTTTTTACTTTTAAATTCAAGTTCAGTTAAAGTGACTTTAAAATTCTATAGTTGTTCTATAATCATTCCATTCATTTAATCAATAACGCCGAACAAACATCGATGCTTCTCTGGTCTCTTAAATTTTTCCATTTGTTTCTGATGCTCTTCGGCATTTTGTAGAATTGTTGCGATCCACATGTGTTCATGATCTGTTGGATATTTCAATGAGTCCTGTCATGGCACTTTGTAAACAGTCATTTTTTAAAACTTACATTTTTCATTCGGAGTTTCACTAATCCATAAAACCAGTTCACGTGGCGTTTGTCCTCGATTATTTTTGGCAAATAGATCGGCGCCATTTTCAACAAGAAATTTAACAATATTTGTGCTACCAAGCCGCGCTGCTTCGTGTAACTACCGTAAAAAAAACATTAAAAAATTGAAAATTCATTCAAAATCCGGCAATACTCACTGGTGTGTCACCATATACGTTCTTGGCATTTACGTCGGCTCCATATGAGATTAAATACTTCACAATGTTATTAATACCTAATTATTTTAATAATATTATACTTTAATTAGTTTCAATTTATCGAAATAAAAAAAACTTCAAAAGTCATTCACCGACCGTTGAATGATGCAAGATGTAAAGGCCGACGTTTGTCGTACATTTCAGCATTAACATCGGCACCAGTTTCTGCCATATTTTTGACTACGTCTTCTTTACCTGTGAAATGTCTAGGATTAATTTGAATCACTCGATTATTCCATCAAAATCGTTAAATTTCGGCCGTTCGAAAAAAATTGTTTCAAAAACTCGGCCCAAAATTTGGATGTAAAATTTAAATCGAATTAAAAAAAAAAAAAAAGCGAAATGTACCTAAAACAACCGCTAATAAAAGATCGACTGCTCCCCGATTGTTGACCCGGTTTTCGATGAGAATCCTTGCAATATGCTCATTTCCTGAAAAAAAAAAATGGTTTTTCTGGTGTATGTTCATTGATCAGTCTTGTAATAGAAAATAAATTATTACGATATTCAGCTGCCCAGAAAATCTGCCGCAAAAAAAAAATCATCAAAAAATTGAAAATTCATTCAAAATCCGGCAATACTCACTGGCGTTCTTTCGGTATTATCCTTGGCACTGAAAGTAAAATTATTAATTTCGTTTGATCGCCGAGTAGGCTTAATACAAGCTCTTGACAAATTTTGTTCGATTGAAAATGTTTCAAATTACAATTTTGTGAAAAATGCAATTTTTACAACATACCTGACATCCGCGCCGTGGTCAACAAGAATTTTAACGATATCCGCCTTGTTCATTTTAACAGCAAGGTGCAACTACCGCAAACAAAATCATAAAAAAATTGAAAATTCATTCAAAAGCCGGCGATACTCACTGGTGTTTCCATTGTATTCAATGTGGGATTCACTGATGCTCCACTTTCCACTAAAAGTTTCACAATATCTGGCTTATCATAACGAACGGCGAGATGCAACTACCGCAAAAAAAATCATAAAAAAATTGAAAATTCATTCAAAATCCGGCAATACTCACTGGCGTTTCTTTATTAATATTTTTTGCATTTAAATTGGCACCGTGCTTGATTAGAAGTTTGGCTCGGCTCAAATAATAACCTAAACGATACAAGCAAATTTTCTCCGTTTTTTATTCAATCCAGATTTTATTTTAATTATATTAAAATGCTTGCCACGACTTGCTGCGTTATGCAGTGGTGTATTGAGTTGTTCGTCTCTAGCGTTAACATTGATATCTTCGTATTGGGCGTGACTAGCTCCAAAAACTAAAACAATCACGAGCAAATATTTCATTTCTTTTCCCTTTAAAACGAAAAATGCGTAAAACTTTGAACGAAGTTGGCAAAAATGAACTGTTTTGTTCCAGAAAAAATTACGAAATTAATCCAACGATCTCTGTTTCCATACTGTACACATAACACACAGATCTGTGGTGTTTAAAGGTGGCTCTCGAGTTGACCTTGTGGCCGTCTTCCTTTTATTGAAACTGACACATTAAACTTGAAATTACAATCAGTTTAAATCAAGTTGTTTATCTCGAATCAAACACTCTCAATGCTCAATGGATAAACAAAAATGCGTTTATGGCGCAGTATTCAAGTAAATCGAGTGCTGGAATAAAATCGTTTTGGTTTGGATTCGTTTTAGATTAACTTTGATTGGAGCAAATTACTCAATGTCATTACCGCATCAAAACTGCATCCTCAATTGCATTTCCTACCGTGATTGCCAAGTCGTGCATCAATTGAAGCATTAAAACGTTGACTGCGTTTTGCATTGAATCAAGTGGTTTGTAAGTGGCACCTTTTTTTTGTTACATTTGTTTGTGTAAAAACGACGCACTTATGTTTTGAATCAACGACGTCATGTGTATTCAAAAAGCTTCTAGAAATTAGTATTGTTCTAGGTATAGCTACTTTGGTTATAACCAGAGGTCGCATCGGGACGGAAAATTCGGCCCGAGACCCGACTGAATAATTTCCATGCTGCCCATGAGTGAAATATTTCATAATAACAAATACCAATAAGAAGATTCAGTCAGTTAGCGACACTTTTCTCACACGTTTTCTCGTATCGTTTTAATACTGTGTGCTGTGCTAAATTCATTTTTTAAAGGCTCAATTGATGAATTGTCTTGTTCATGGACGTCAACACATTTTGTTTTTTTGAATTGTCTATAATGATTAATTTTGAAATAATTCAGACCTAATTCAATACACGTGTGTTTATTTTACACATATCTTGAACAAAAAGTTATTGATTATAAAGTCTGAAGCGCGTAAACATTTCATTTCTATTACATATTCGACGGTAAATGCGAAGCCCGGTTGAAGCTAAAGTCAAACAATGAGGCAATTATTATTTTTGGCAATTTTCTCTGTTTTTGTATTCAATGAGGTATGCAAAATTACTTAAACGCACTATTTTACTGACTACGTGTTATTCGTTAATTTTTTATGCTTTTCTTCTTCAAATAGGTGTACTGTACCACGTCCTATGCAACCGTTGTAAAAACGTTTGCTAAAAAAGCGAAAAATGCTGATCCGGCGCTAAAAAAAGACTGGAATAAAAATTTGGGTATTTTATTCAATCTCAGCAAAAACATTCCCAAGCATGTCCTTACGCATACATTGGTCGCATACCAAATACCAGCCAATGTAAAATCCCATACATTGGCTTTATTTGCTGGAATGAAACAAACTGCAATCGTTCAGAATTTGATCGCGGACTATAGAATCGTGTTGGGCAATGAACCAACTCTTAACAAATTGTGTGATGATTTGATAAAACGCATCAAGAATGATTTAAAAGGAGAGAATTTCATTCTACACGCGAACAAGTTTAACGAATGGGAAAAGAAAAATATGGAAAAGTCACATGTGGAGAAAATTGCCTTGCAATTGGGCGACATGAAGTTTGATTTCTTAAGATTTCATACCAAATTTACGTCACAGTTGAATGCAGCGTATGAGGCCAAAGAAGCGTTTATAAGAGCCAGCAGTTTAATACCAAACGCGATCATCAATGAAAGAGACAAAATGAATGAACTATCGATTTCCATGGCTAGTTACAAAAAGGCTCAAGTTCAAATCTACCATCATCTTAATACGGCTTGGAATGTTTCATGCGAATATATCAAGAAACGCGATGAATGGGTAGACTTTATAATTGGAGAATGAGGGAGAACGGTTTAATGACAGTTTTTTTTTTTGGAATTAGTCAGTTATGACGTCTTTAAATGTAATTTACTTCAAAATAACGGTGAACGGAGAGACAGTTAACATCAATGACATTTTTTATTATAAAATAAGTTTTCGTCCAAAATAATAATTTAAAAGCGAAACATTGTTTTTCTTCTTTATTTTAGATATTATGGAATAAAAATTCCAACAAAAAAATTGAACGTTTTTCATTTTCGCAATTTTAAATTATGTTATCGTAAGATGTACGGAATTTTAATACATTAAATTGAATCATTTGGCATTTCTTGTCCGTGTTTGTTTGGACCACCTATTGCGTAGCATATCAAACTTCTAGATCCGGCGGAATTTTATAACGTCCTGAAAAAAAAAGTTCCCTTCAGAGGCTCTGACCTCCAACCATCAAAGTGTCGTACCTGAGTACAAGAAAGGCCGAGTATACAGTTCTGTATTTTTTGTGTCTTTTAGTAAAAATAATACTCATTACCTAAGAAATGATCAGAAGAAAAGAATGGAAAAAATGGAAATTAATCAATGCGTTATGGATCGGAATGGAAAATGAAACTGTAGATGAAAGTATATACTTTACTTTTAAAGCAAAATCAATGACCACAACAACAACATTGCTTTAATTTGGGATTTCATTGTAGCAATGGTAGTGTTGAGATTGCTGATCACGGTGAAAAAAGAGAAAAATTAATATGCTTACTATTTCTAGTACTTGTTAGCATCGTCCACTACTACGTCTTGGTATCATTGTTTGAAACAATGAGATTCCGCGTAGACGTCCGTGCTCATAATTTTAATTTTTGATTTTAATTGTTGAAATAACAATGGAGTTGATGCCTGAATGGTCGGAAACAATTTGGCATCGGCAGATGATTCATTACCGCTTCACGTGCCATCTCATTTTGAGAATATACAACAATTTTTGTTACACACACCGACTATTGACAGTGACTCACACCTTGCCGTCAACACATATTGTGGTAATAAAGCAACAGGAAAAAATCATTTTTAGAAAGTTTAATTAAAAAAATACAAAAAATATTTTGCTACACTAAAAAAATTAAATTTAATTTTTTAGCCTCACTAATACACAAAGATAAACAAATGACAATTTGTACTCAAATGCCCTCGAAATAACAGAAAGCATTATTCTATTTGAAAAGTATCCTCAATGATCCCTTTTGTTAAAAATACTTAACTATACATGGTATGTGTGCATGTATGTATTTAAATTTTAAATCGTCTCTACAGAAATAAAATGTCTTACATACGTAAGATGAACTTTTCCGCACTGTGATCCACAAAATTCATTTATAACTTATCTTTTACTTGAATTTGAACTCACGAAAAACTGAATCTGACATTAGTTTTGCGATACACATAATTTTTGACTTACTTTTTATATAAAAATTACTTAAAATGGGAATTTTGGAATGGAATCAATCCTTGCATGACGACGTGAAACTTGACACAGGGTATTTTTTCACAAAAAGCCAACATTCTGGAAGTTTGAAAATATTTCAATACAATTTAGGGGTACTTCCCATACAAAATTTTCGTTTTTGGGTGAAAAATCCGAAATTTTGTTCGGAAGGTACCCCTAATATGTATTGAAATGTCTTCAAACTCTCGGAATATTATTTTGGTGTGATAAAAATAACCTGCGCAAAGTTTCAGGTCATTACGATATCATACAGGCATGGCTTCCATACAAAAATCCAATTTTTTTGAAATATTTGTATGAAAGGTGTGTCGAAATATATTTGTATCGCAAAACTAATGTCATATTCGGTTTTCTCGTACCCAAAAACCCCCCAATACATATTTTTGGATGTTTAAGAATACATTAAATATCACTTTTGGGGGGAAAATTGAATTTTTCCCATGGATGGCCATGGGCATCACACCAGACATGACACGTTACTCTATCAACCAAAGTCGCTCAAAATCTAATGGTTTCTATTCCTCGGCACCCCTTATCATCCTGTGAAGTCAGATTTTGAATTACTTTTCTGGTTTGAAAGTTATCGTGTTAACAAATTTTTGCGTACAGCGTACAGCGTACAGCGTACAGCGTACAGCGTACCACGCACATACATTCGGACATCGAAAAAACGCTAGATTCGTGTTCCCTGGGTCCTAAAACACCCAGAAAACATGTTTTTTGAGGGTGTTAATTTTTCGACCGATTCCAATACTTTACCTTACACACTAGGTGTGTGCGGAAAAGTAAAATAATGACATGGTGAAAGCACTCGAGTTTAGTTGTGTTTAAAAGTTTGAATAAATCACATCACATTCATTTGGAATAAACGTTAAACTTGCCTACGAAAAGTGAGTGTTGATCAATTTAAAAATTGTTTGGCATTGTGAATAGTTAATAATTTCATCAATAAAATGGGTAACCAAATAACACGGCACAAAAGATTCGGCGTAACCATTGGAAGGAAGAAGACAAACAAAGAAGTTAAAGTTCAAAATGATGAACAACAACAAGAAGAAAAACAGGAGGAATTACCAACTGGAACAACAATTACCGACCTGAATCCTGATTGTTTGGAGCATATTTTGTTGTATTTGGATTCGAAAAATCTCTTGAATGTTACTGATTCCAACAAATATTTAAAAGATGTTGCCGAACGGGCATTCGTACGGAAATACAAATACTACGAGCGTTCATATCTCTACATAACCATAAATCCTTTTGTTTGCATACGGTTCGATTTATTTGGGGACCGTTTAACAGTTGATTTAAAAACTTGTTTTCAAATAGTGCGCTGCTTTGGACACTTGGTGAAGAAAATATCTTTTCATGTCGATCCAAAAATTGTTCCAATTTCAACCAAAATTTACGAGCGTATTTTAAATTACGTAAACGAATACTGTATTAATGTAAAGAGCATCGATATTAAAGGCATAACCATTTTGGATAAATTCCAGAAACCATTTTCAAAGGGTCAATGGGTTTATTTGGAGGGTTGTAGCTTGGGACCAAACAGTATCGATTGGCTTTTTCCAAATATGGAATTATTACGTTACAAAGCTGTCAATGGTAATTTTATAGATATCGAAAAACATATGCCAAAATTAGATTCTCTGTCAATTGGAGTTTCACATGGAAAACGGAGCAATTCATGCTCAAAATCCATTGAGACAGTCTGCCGATTGAATCCACAATTGAAATATTTCGTAGTGCACTTGGGGTCAGGATTGAATATGCAGCTACTTGCAGACTTGAGCAAGTATTTACAATCACTCGAAGAACTCACAATATATGTAAACTCCAAGGAAGATTTAAGGTACGAAGGGGATACAATTCATTTTAAAAGTTTGAATAAATTCAAGATTGATCTGAATCTAAAGAGAGATGAATTATTTCCCAAAATTCCATTTTCATTCCATCGACTGAAACATCTATGGATTTTAACAAAATGTCGACACAGCGATGAACTCTTCAAATTTATCAGCGAATGTCCAATAATTCATACTTTAACTTTTTGGAGTTATATGTACATAGATGAGTTGAATATAAAAAAAATCGCAAGTGTGTTACCAGCATTAGAGACAATAGAATTTTATGAAGAATATTCAATCGATGAGGTGTGCCATTACTTGACTGAATTCAAATTGTTGAAAAGATTTCAATTCAGATTAAAAGATGAAAATAATTTGAATGATTTACGAGCACGCTTTGTCAACGAATGGAAAATATCCTCTGAATATTATATCAAAATGAGTCGAATCAAACGAAGCATTTGACAGTGACGGTATTCCGGAACGCCTACGAAGATAAATCTAGGTCTATAAACATCTACCACAACATTTGACTGTATTACAATGCATGCCATGTTTAGTTAAAGTGGAATTTGGAATATCTCATCAATTTAACATTTTAATTTCTCACCAATTTAATATTGAACATAAACATTTTTATTGTATCTCCATCGATCGAAATAAAATTAATACAATAAATAAAATAAAAACCAGAATAAATCTCTTTTCAATGGCAATCGACACAAAGACATTTTCCACATTCTATGTACAACAACAGTCAAAGCGTTCGTTTGAAAGAAAACTACAAGAAAACCAAAGATAATTCGAGAAATGAAATTTAATTTCTGGAAGAGAATAGCAAGGGATAAAAGAAGCAATATTTCTCGGGACGCTTACAATGTATCACCTTCCTTCAATATTTGTAGTTTCATTTTTGTCATCTACTCTTTTATTATTATTCAATGTTTCAGTGTTCATTTGTAAATTGTAAGGTAAGATCGAAACTGTTTTTGTTTTTGTTTAAGCATCTTATTTATTGCTGTCATTTTGCACGAATTGTCAGAGAAAATATCAAACGTTGGTGCCATAAATAAGTACAAACTGTCCATTCGTTAGGTGTGCCAAGTAAGAAGTATGAATATGTTTGTGTATTTGCTTTTCTTTGTTCTCAAACTATGGGTAGGTAAACTAATCCGTAGGTAAAAAATCTTCTCGACTCAACATTTTTCATTGAACAGGTGATATTTATGTTCAAACTCTTAGGCCAAACTCAATAATGGTGGTAAGTCGTGTTAGTTTATGATGTACCACGATGATCGTCCTCAAAAAATGCAATATTTTGTTACATTTAAAGTCGACATTTCGAATTTCTCATCGATTTAATATTTTATTAATAAGATGCATAAGCATCTTGATCAACATCGATTAAAATTAATTCATTAAAAAATCAAGCATATTCTTTATTTCTCAAGTTTTTTCTCAACGTATTATAAGAAAGATACAATTTTTTTTTATTTTTTTTTTTTTTGCACAAAAACATTTTTTTTTTGCAACGTTTTGACGTTGGTTTCAAAGTTGATGAAGCATTTAACAATGAAACTAAACATATATCGAGATAAAAAGGAACTTACATTCGTAAGTCTAACTTTTCCGCACTGTTTCCAAACTTCCTTTACCGAACTGGTAGTGCAGTACTAATTCAATAACTACCGAATTATATTGTCTAAGAGCAGTCAAGTTTTTTGGCCAATTAATAAAGTATTGACGTATAAATATTTCAAAATGTGTAGCGTGTCTATTGTACGGAAAGAAAAAATCACCTCCCTCCTGAAGAAAATTTTGTATGGGGAGTACTTCTATT